AAGAGGGGGTATATCGTCCTCGTCAGCCACGGCGTACGGAGATCCAAGCTGTTCGATAGCTCTGGTTGAAGTATTTCTCAGTTCATCCTTTACCTCCTAACGACCTGCCATTGTTAAGCTATCAACTAATGGCTTGTAACCACTATTAGCCCCAATTAGAGAAGATACAGAGAGCCAGAGCAGAAGCAAAAGAGCGGCAGTCATAGCAGGGGCAGACTGGCAAATGTGGCACTCTACTGTGTGCTTCGAGCATGTGTAGACTGAATACCCACTTAGATAGGTGGAGTTCAGGCTGCTCTACTGCTACTATCTAGAGAGCAGGACAATTTTTTATCAGTTTAGACTTAACTATTGATAAAAGCTTATGAAGATGAAATAAAAAGTACTTGAGCATGGTATGTATCCATTAATAAGTCAATGATAAATAAATACTCCTACATAATGCATGTAAAATTTTGTGTGCTTTGTAGAGCATTGAGTGGTACCACAACTACAGTACTTTGGGGCCACCAGGCTTTGAAATTGCAATACAGGCCTACTGTGTTGTCATTGTACAACAATTGTGTTATGGGTCTGATACAGTGTAATTGTATTTGATGTAGTTTTTTTGTCTATGCTTGCTTTACTACTACCTACTACATGTATAATATACCTGTATAGGGTAAATTTATAGCAGAGAATAAAGAAACATTTATGCCTTATCAATGTTTCTTGAGTAGTAAATCTTTTGGTAAATGAATTATTGTTGAAACTTTTATAAATAACTGGCCGCATGCATTTTAATTCCCAATTATAACTGTTATTTTTTAGAGTGCCATGCCTATGGTATAGTGATTGTAATTGTAAACTTGGTTTACATGTACATGGGTTTCCCACAAAGTATGCTAAGTAAGCTAAACAGCATGAGCTTTGTGAGCCTGCTACCACCGCAGTGCAGTTCATGACATTTGCAGTACCTATAAAAACTTAAGTTTGAATGGAAACAGCTCACAATTTCTACGCAACATAAGTACATGTATGTGTATCAGAAAAAATTGTAAAATTGATAAAATCCCATCTTTGAATTTTTGATGAAATTTGGTGAATGTTGTTGTACATGTATGCATGTAATTGAGAAATTTGGAAGTACTGCACTCAAATTTCCCTTTGTACTATAATACAATGTACTACAATATGTTTCACTCAATTTTTGAGCAAATTTAAAAATTGATAAAAAATCAAATTTTATTTCAATTGGCTCAAATTTTCTATGCAATATAAGTACCTACATGTATATGCATCAAAGAACATGATAAAATTGAAGAATTCCCTTCTTGTCATTTTTGATTAAATTTGATCAGTGTCCCTGTATATAGTACAGGGTGTTTGGCTCAATTTTTGAGCAATTTGACAATCCGTTGACAAGAAGCTGTATCAGCACTAGGCCAAATTTTGTGAGGAACCCTGGCTCTAAGTATTATTGGCAATGTTATATTGGTTTATGATACACAGTTCTTCTCATTCCCAATGAATGTATGTATTGTTAATAGGTACTGCATATTTCTCTCTTCTCATGTTTGTGTTTCTTGGCGCCTGTCCTTGTGCATCTTGTCCCCTTTCTCTCCTTTGCCTTTCTCTCTTCCTCATACACATGTACGCATATGTCTAACTTTTGCTCTTTCTCGTTCCTTTGCTAGTCTCTCATATGTCTTCCCTCTTTCTTGTGTTAACACAGTTTTAGTATCAGTAAGCAAATGTAAAATACCATGCACATACATTAATGTATACAAACATCATCAAACATCATCATTATTATGATTATAATTATTATTATTATTCTTATCATTTTATAGTACATTGGTATATCACAGACATTGTCACTTGCTGCAATGTGGGAACAGGAATGCAAATAAAATGCTAACAAAATTGTAACAGTAAGACACAACGCACACTATAGTGCTCTTGTGTACAGTGCATGTACTGAGAATGAGAGAGAGGGAATATAGCATCTCATTATTGAATCCATGTACATTTGATTATTTTGGATATGTCCAATTAAGTGACATTAATGTTGTGGTGCATTGGCTGAAGCATAATGATGGTAAGTGATATGTGATGTACATGTATTTAAGTCAATGGATTCTTGGGTAATTGTTGCAAGCCTACATGTACATGTATGACACTGACTCACTAATTGAGTAAAGCACAGTTACATATGCATGTGCAGGAATGCCATTGCCACTCTTTGTCAAATAAACAAAATATCACAACCATTACCATTACAGATAATCATTACTTTTGTAATAAATTTGAATTACTATTACAATTCATTGCTATGCACCTCTCTTTCTTTCCACCCTTTTTCTTTCTTTAGTGCCTTCATCATGTAATGTACTGCTATCTTGCAATAGACCAAGGTACTGCTGATGTCATCACATAATGAGTCTTACATAATTCAAGTAAGCTCCAGTACATATGTCCCTTGTTATGTTTCTTTCTGTGGTTTTAGGACTAATGCATCAAGACAACACTAAAACTAAAACTGATTTATTAAGTTATTTTGCTTTTTTATAATTATTATTGTTCAAATTAAATATTTGGCACTGTGCAGCAAATGACCTTCAGTAAGCAACATGCAGCATAAAAGCGCAAATGAATTATTGTGTACCATATATTGTTGTATTTTTGTATGTTAATTTTTAAATATAAATTTGCCAAAAAAGATATTTTTAAATATGATTATTTGCTACTACTATGCAGCGAAGGCATGCAAAATGAAGCTGTTCATGAGGTAAGGTCCTTTCACTTGATCCACGTCAAAAATGAAAGATTTAGCAATACCTAAGTTGCATAATGATCAATGATTTTTTCAAGTATGTTAGCATTGCAATTCTGACTGTTGTCTGGTATCAGCAGGTAGGCATGCACAATTACTTGTTTCAAAAAATAAAAGTACTAGTATTGAATGAACGAGTACAGAGCTAATGAGCTAAACATACTTTCCGCATGCTTAATGAGGGGGTGTCGCTGAAGGTTTTTAGCTGAAAACTCCAAGGCTTTACATCACAAGTCCCAAAAAATGCAATGAAGTTCAATCAAGAAGTTCTTAATACAATAATTAACTAGTGCTACAGCAAGTTTGAAAATTTGTTGCAACCAAATTCATATTTTCACTATTTTTGACTAAAACTTTTATTCAGACATAATGTAACAATTTATGAGTTTAGAGGGCTTGAAAAGCAAATCAGCTACTGCTAAAACAAATTTTCCTGACCA